GGTACTGTCTGTAAATAGACACTAAATCAATCAAGCATTAAAACGGCATGAATCTGCAAAACAATATCCATAGTCAATGTTGAAAGCCTTTCACTCATCAATTTAAATTAAACCATAGATTATAGCTAGAGATGAGCGAATCGAACATGGCGAAGTGGAATTCGTTTCGAAGATCAGGAAAAATTCGATTCCGAAATCCGAAAATTAGCAAACTTCGGATGCGCGAATCTAATTTTCCCAAAAATGGCGGCGACATGTGTGGCGACGGAGCGGGGATCTCTGGGAAGGCACGCAGACAAGGCGCGCTGACCCATAATGCATTCATTCATGACATGTGATCGCATTAGCCAATCAGCAGCCAGCCAGCCAGCACTGTGTAATGGTGGAGCTATAAATCGCGGCCATCTTAGAATTCTCCATTAGCCTCCGGTCATTCAAGAGAGACAGACCTCTGTGTATTAGGGACAGAGTTAGGGCCACAGAGACTTTAGGGACACAGAATCGTTACTTAGGGACACAGAATCGTTACTCAGGGACACAGGATTGTTACTCAGGGACACAGAATTGTTACTCAGGGACAGACACAGAATTGTTACTCAGGGACAGACACAGAATTGTTACTCAGGGACACAGAATTGTTACTCAGGGACACAGAATTGTTACTGAGGGACACAGAATTGTTACTCAGGGACACAGAATTGTTACTCAGGGACACAGAATCGTTACTCAGGGACACAGAATTGTTACTCAGGGACACAGAATTGTTACTGAGGGACACAGAATCGTTACTGAGGGACACAGAATTTTTACTCAGGGACACAGAATTGTTACTCAGGGACACAGAATTGTTACTCAGGGACACAGAATTGTTACTCAGGACACAGACACAGAATGTTACTCAGAGGGACACAGAATTGTTACTCAGGGACACAGAATTGTTACTGAGGGACACAGAATTGTTACTCAGGGACACAGAATTGTTACTGAGGGACACAGAATCGTTACTGAGGGACACAGAATTGTTACTCAGGGACACAGAATCGTTACCAGGGACACAGAATCGTTACTCAGGGACACAGAATTGTTACTGAGGGACACAGAATCGTTACTCAGGGACACACAGAATCGTTACTCAGGGACACAGAATTGTTACTCAGGGACACAGAATTGTTACTGAGGGACACAGAATCGTTACTCAGGGACACAGAATCGTTACTCAGGGACACAGAATTGTTACTCAGGGACACAGAATCGTTACTCAGGGACACAGAATCGTTACTGAGGGACACAGAATTGTTACTCAGGACACAGAATTGTTACTCAGGGACACAGAATGTTACTCAGGGACACAGAATCGTTGAATTAAAGAGTATGTCAGACAGACACAGAATTGTTAGTGGCAGAGGACAGGGCAATGTTTCAGGACACAGAAGTTTAACGTGGCAGCACAGGAAGGGTTACTGAGGCAGCACTAGTCGTTACCAGGGCACAGAATTGTACCCGGTGTCATCCAGCGGTCGTGTACTCCACCGACAACCCAGCCGTCATCGATTGCTTGGCTCAGTCATCTTCCTCTTACAGGGTCACTCAGACACGTTACTACCAGGGACACAGGTGGTACGTCAGACACAAATTGTTACTCATGGCCCAGCAATTGCCCACTGAGGGACACGTGAATCCTCTACCTCCCCTGTCCTTTGGTGTTCCCACAACAAGTGAAGTATCGCATGCTGTGGGCTCAGCCCCACTGTTACAGTGAGGAAGAGCTAACAGAGGGCAGGTCAGGGGAACGGGGGAGACATCCGCCTCTTCAGCAGCCAGGCGAAGAAGTACTGGCGAGGAGAGTGGCTCGTAGCCGTTTCTAGAGGGACAGGTCTGTCTCCTGACCCACACGCAGCCAGGGGGCTAATAGAGGAGGCGGAGACTCAGGGACCCTAATTGATGAGGGACTGATGAGGCTGATCGCACTTGGCAGCCTCGTCGTACATCAGGCTATTGCTCCGCATCATCAGGAGAAGAGGGTGGCAGCTTGGCAGCGAGCAAAACAGTCGGTGGGTTGCCCAGGAGGCAGCAGGGTCGCAGCAATTGTCAGTGGAGGCAGAACGGCCACGGAGTAAAGAGCACCAGCTCAACACTGCAGGCCTACCACCAGGAGGCCAGTAGTGGGTGCCGGTGTGCACGGAGAGAGTAGCAGTCAGGGACAGTACATGTCATTTACGGCCCACTGGAGTGAACGTATGGTGCCGGCACAGCCGCACCACAACCCTTGGACAGGTCACGCCGCTTTTGCCTCCACGTTTGCACGTCCTTGGTCCAGCAAAGATGTCCGCCTCTACCACCTACTTCTTCCGCCGTGGGTCCTCAGACGCCACCGTTACGGTTGGGCGTGCCAAGTCCCATTACCCGACCGGCATATCACATGTGCAGGCGCAACGGTGTCACGCTGTCTGCACCTGGTATTGCCTTGGCGAACGTAGTCACACAGGGGAGGAACTTCTGAGTGTAATGAACAGAGAAATCGACAGATGGCTGTCTTCGCGCAAACTGAAAATCGGAACCATGTTGACCGACAACAGGAAAGAACATGGTGTTCTGCTCGCGTCAAGGAAGGTGTGTGCCATGCGCCATGTCTAGCTCACGTGTTTCAATCTGGTTGTCAAGCGGTTCCTAAAATCCACCATCCCACTGCAAGACACCCTTAAAATGTCAGGCTGTAAACTTTGCATGCATTTCAGCCATTCCTACACCGCAAAGCACACCCTCCTTGAGCTGCAGCTTGGGCAGCGGAGAATTCCACAGCATCGCCCTGATCTGTGCCCACGAGGCAACAAGTGGAATTCAACCCTACAGTGGATGTTAGACCGCCTTTACGAACAGCGAAAGGCCACCACCGATTTCCTGATGTTTTAAGCGGATAAAGGTACTCCCCTGGTAACTTAGATGTCAGCCATTGGCAGCTCATGCGTGACACCTGCCGCTTGCTCAGGCCCTTTGAGGAGGCCACGCTATTCGTGAGTCGGCAGGACTATGGGATGAACGACGTCATTCCTCTGTTGCACGTCCTGGAACAAATGCTGTTAACAATGGCTGGTCAGGGTGCGGTAGACGTGGCGCACAGATCTCAACGCCACATGACCCCTGTCGGGGGCAGGACAGTGATAAAGAAGAGGAGGAGGTAGAGGACCCGACATTGGTGCTCAGAATTAATTGAGTGAAATGGGTGGTTTTTTTCCACTCAGCGGACAGGAGTGGAGGAGCAGGAGCATCTGGGTAGAGGAGGAGAGAGGAGACAGAGGGGACCCAGCACCGTGGCAGTATGCTGTCGGAGATGGAGGCAGGGAGTCCCTCGCATTCCTTGGCACAAATGACCCAAGCATGCTCGGTTGCTTGCGTACCCGACAGCCGAATAATAACCATCAGACAGAGGGATGACTTTTGGCTGTCCCACCTTGTTGGACCCTCGCTACCGTTCAAAAATGGTGGCCTTTTTCACACCTGCTGAGAGGGAGGCCAAAAATAAAGTACTATAAAAACCACCTATGTAGTCAGTTGGTCTCTGCCTTTCTGCGCCAACGTCCATCCTCAGACACTGGTGGGGCCCTGTGCGTCACGTTCCGCTGCCATGCAGCAGGGAGGGGTGGGGTGGTAGGAGCAGTGGCAGCTCACCAGCAGCGGCCTCAGTCTGCAGTCGATGATGAGTAGCTTTCTTCACCAGCGCAGCGAGGAAACTACTAACAGCCGCAGCAGCAGCAGCATCAGGTGACCTGGAGCAGATGACCTCAAACAACAGGCCTGGGCCTACTTGGACAGCACCCTGCCAAACCGAGGTAGACAATCCCTTGACTACTGGGCAACGAAAACTTGCCTTTGGCCCCAACTAGCTGAATTTGCCCTTGAAAGGCTGTCATGCCCGCCAGTAGCGTGGCATCGGAGCGCTTGTGTTTAGTGCGGCAGGAGGTATTGTAACTCCGCGGAGGACACGATGGCTGTCCACCCAAAGTGTGAGAGACTCACGTTTGTGAAAATGAATCATGGCGTGGATTAGTCCAAGGAGGTTTTCAAACCACCATTCCTGACACAACGTGACTAAATCCGCCATGAATCATGCCCCTAAAACATCTTATTATTTTTAACATAGGCCTCTGTATGGCCTTAAATTTAAGCTGCTTACGCTTCAGCCACTCTGCCATGGGCCCCTGTACCGCCTCCTCCTTGCTGCTGCCAGGTCCAGAGTGTGTCATGGGTCCACTGCATCGGCCTCCCATTGCTGCGTCATCCATCGCCACACTCTGCCATGTGCCACTTTCAGGTCTCCTCACACTGCTGGTGGGTTCCATTTTGTCATAGGGTGCTGGCAGATTACGGGCCATCACCATTGCTGCTGCCAGGCCCGTAATCTGCCATGGGCCCCCGTACCGACTCCTCATAGCTGCTGCCAGCCCGTAATCTGTCATGGGCCCCTGTACCGCCTCCTCATGCTGCTGCCAGGTCCAGAGTGTGTCATGGGTCCCTGTACGGCCTCTCATTGCTGCTGTCTCCAACGTTACACTCTGCCATGTGCCACTTTCAGGTCTGCCTCACACTGCTGGTGGTTCCATTTTGTCATAGGGTGCTGGCAGATTACGGGCCTCCCATTGCTGCTGCCAGGCCCGTAAACCTGCCATGGGCCCCCGTACCGACTCCTCATGCTGCTGCCAGGCCCCGTAATATTGAGTGAAATGGGCCCCTTTACCGCCCTCCTCATGCTGCTGCCAGGTCCAGAGTGTGTCATGGGTCCCTGTACGGCCTCCCATTGCTGCTGTCTCCATCGCCACACTCTGCCATGTGCCACTTTCAGGTCTCCTCACACTGCTGGTGGGTTCCATTTTGTCATAGGGTGCTGGCAGATTACGGGCCTCCCATTGCTGCTGCCAGGCCCGTAATCTGCCATGGGCCCCCGTACCGATCCTCATGCTGCTGCCAGGCCCCCGTAATCTGACATGGGCCCCTGTACCGCCTCCTCATGCTGCTGCCAGGTCCAGAGTGTGTCATGGGTCCCTGTACGGGCCTCCCATTGCTGCTGCCAGGGAGGCCCGTAATCTGCCATGGGGCCACCCGTACCGACTCCTCATGCTGCCCAGCCCGTAATCTGTCATGGGCCCCTGTACCGCCTCCTCATGCTGCTGCCAGGTCCAGAGTTGTCATGGGTCCCCTGGTACGGCCCTCCCATTGCTGCTGTCTCCATCGCCACACTCTGCCAAGTTCCACTTTCAGGTCTCCTCACACTGCTGGTGGTTCCATTTGTCATAGGTGCAGGTGGCAGATTACGGGCCTCCCATTGCTGCTGCCCAGGCCCGTAATCTGCCATGGGCCCCTGTACCGACTCCTCATGCTGCTGCCAGGCCCGTAATCTGTCATGGGCCCCTTACCGCCTCCTCAGCTGCTGCCAGGTCCAGAGTGTGTCATGGGTCCCCTTATGGCCCTCCCATTGCTGCTGTCTCCATCGCCACACTCTGCCATGTGCCACTTTCAGGTCTCCTCACACTGCTGGGGGTTCCATTTTGTCATAGGGTGCTGGCAGATTACGGCCTCCCATTGCTGCTGCCAGGCCCGTAATCTGCCATGGTCCCCCGTACCGACTCCTCATGCTGCTGCCAGGCCCGTAATCTGTCATGGGCCCCTGTACCGAACTCCTCCTCATGCTGCTGCCAGGTCCAGAGTGTGTCATGGGTCCCTGTACGGCCTCCCATTGCTGCTGTCTCCATTGCCACACTCTGCCATGTTCCACTTTCAGGTCTCCTCACACTGCTGGTGGGTTCCATTTTGTCATAGGGTGCTGGCAGATTACGGGCCTCCCATTGCTGCTTGCCAGGCCCGTAATCTGCCATGGGCCCCCTTACTGACTCCTCATGCTGGCTGCCAGGCCCGTAAATCTGTCATGGGCCCCTGTACCGCCTCCTCATGCTGCTGCCAGGTCCAGAGTGTGTCATGGGTCCCTGTACGGCCTCCCATTGCTGCTGCCTCCATCGCCACACTCTGCCATGTGCCACTTTCAGTCTCCTCACACTGCTGGTGGGTTCCATTTTGTCATAGGGTGCTGGCAGATTACGGGCCTCCCATTGCTGCTGCCAGGCCCGTAATCTGCCATGGGCCCCCGTACCGACTCCTCATGCTGCTGCCAGGCCCGTAATCTGTCATGGGCCCCTGTACCGCCTCCTCATGCTGCTGCCAGGTCCAGAGTGTGTCATGTCCCTGTACGGCCTCCCATTGCTGCTGTCTCCATCGCCACACTCTGCCATGTGCCACTTTCAGGTCTCCTCACACTGCTGGGGGGTTCCATTTTGTCATAGGGTGCTGTATGGCCTCCCATTGCTGCTGCCAGGCCCGTAATCTGCCATGGGCCCCCGTACCGACTCCTCATGCTGCTGCCAGGCCCGTAATCTGTCATGGGCCCCTGTACCGCCTCCTCATGCTGCTGCCAGGTCCAGAGTGTGTCATGGGTCCCTGTACGGCCTCCCATTGCTGCTGTCTCCATCGCCACACTCTGCCATGTGCCACTTTCAGGTCTCCTCACACTGCTGGTGGGTTCCATTTTTTCATAGGGTGCTGTATGGCCTCCCATTGCTGCTGCCTCCACCGCCACACTGTGGCTCCACACTCTGGTTTTGGCCCCGTGACTGCCCAAATGAGTGAAGTGTGCGGTGATTCTAAGATCGACGGCACTCATCTGCATGTCATACTGACTGACAGTATTATTTCTCTTCCCCAGCAGACTCCAAGGGCATTTAAATTAAAGGTACAGTGTTCTGCACTAATATAAAGGCTCTCTGAAGCCTAGAAACACCCTTTTCATAAGTTAAATTCGCAGCGAATATAATCGACTCGAATCGAATTTATTCCGCGAATTCGCCGAATCAGCCGAATCGAATCTTTGAATAATTCGCTCATCTCTAATTATAGCCCTTGAATAATTCCTCTCACTCTGGCATGTGCTGGGACATCTACTATGCCTTGTGCCATTGTGGTGTGCATGTACCTAGGGTGTTTTTTTTTTTTTTTAAATTAAACCTTTTTTTTACATGTTTCAATTAACATAGCATAACATATAAAAAAAATTAAAATTGCTGGTTACTTTAAGGGCTGCTTCACACTATAGATATGCAGTACAGTACAGATATGCGTTCTGGTGCATTTTTTATGCATTCCAGTTCATTTTTCCCCTCTCTTTTTCTTCAATTTAAATAGGGACATGTGGATTCCAGTGCATTTTTGGTGCGTTACTGTGCTTTCTGGTGCGTTTTTTGATGTGTTGTACCATGTTCCAGTACAGTTCTGTGCTGAAAAAATGCATCATGTTCTACTTTGATTTCTGCAACTGGAAATGCAAGCACTGATGTAAACTATGACATTGACAAACATATAACCTACTTTCTATGCATTTTGGATGCAGAAAAAAGCAACTGAAACGCAACTGAAACGCATGTAGTGTGAACTGGCCCTAAGTGTTTAGAAAACCGTACTTGCTTTCCATGCTTTGCAGTGTTTCGAAGGGAGCTGTGGAGTAAGGTTTAACATAATTAACCCTGTCTGTACTGTGTTCACAGTTCTTCATTATCAGCTGTAAACTAGATTTGAACACTGTCTGTCCTAACAAAGGGTTAAAATTTAGAAACTGCCTTCCTGTGTTGTAGGTTAAAGAGGTATAGTTCACTCTGTGTGGCGACAAGACGCTGAGGTTGGTTTACTAAAACTGGAGAGTGCAATTCTGGTACTTAGAAACCAATCAGCTTCCAGGTTTTTATTATCAAAACTTAATTGAAAAAGCTAAAGTTAAAAGCTGATTGGCTATCATGTACAGTTGCACCAGAAATTGTACTCTCTAGTTTTATGTGGGTCGAATTCTTAACAAATTTCCTTTAGAAAATTGGAATTTTAATGATTTTTATAATCTGACTGTGTCACCATTGATTTTGAAATTCGACCAACCAAGCCTTCAATTTCACCTCAGGTTGCTAAAGATAAGAATGTGGCTGGGAATATTCTTTTCTTTCCAGGTCACACTGATTTCTCTTTCAACTCTATGTCTCACTCGATTCTCCCATCAATGATTAGAAATTCGTTTGCTTTTCAAAAAATTTCCAACATGCCCAATGACTGAAATTTGATGGCTGATGTTGTGGCCCACTAATGGTGTGATAATTGAATGAACATTCTTAGTTACAAATTTTGAAAGAAAATAATTTCGGAATTCGACCCATGCATGGCCTGCAGTAGTAAATCAACCCTTGTAAAACTCTCCAGAAATTATTTGAATCAGCCATGACACCTTTACCTTGAAAACATCTAAAAGAAATATATTTAATTTCTTTTTTGTATGCTGTGTCCTTTGTCCTGGCCTAATGGTGAACCGTACACCACCACTGAATAGGAATATTAACATCTACCATATACCAAAAATATTCACATCATGGTGTGCAAAGTGCTAGTTTGTAAAATAGGGTCCTAGCTGATGGTTTTCTGCAGTGGGATTATCTGACATGATGTGTTGGAAACTCCTCTTGTTACCAGTTGACTTATGTTTTGTATATCCTCTGATAATCTCATCATACAGTAAATGTGACCTAAGAAACCACTTTTATATAAACTAGCTTGTAATTTATGTTTGGTGGCTCTTTCAGAGAATAAATATACTCATAATTTTGATTTACTAGCTGTGGTAATATTGAGTTATATTTCTAGAATACAATCTGACAGGGCCTGAGATGGCACCAATGTAGCTACATGAACTGTGCCATGGTCCGTTATGAGTAAATCATTTTAGAAAATATTCTATAGATGTGTAGGTACTCTGTTGCTGAAAATAACCTGAAGTTACATGCTGTTATAAACAACACAGATTCATGTCAGAAACCCCAGAGGTGACAGATACAAGAGCAGCAAGAGAACAGACATGATAATGGAATCTGTGTTTTGGGCCAGCTTGGTATTTTCCCACTTGACTGTACTAATTTGCAATACCTGCCATATTGTTTTTACAAGACCGTTAATGTATAAATAAACACCAGACAAAAAAAACCCTTTAGTAAAATGCCATAAAATTACACCTAATTACATATTTTTATGAAAAGTGTGGCAATACCTACATCAGCTTTATAGCAAAGGAGTGCTGGCAAAAGTTCATGCCAGTTCTCAGCTCTGATTTGTTTTATGCTGTCAATCCCCTGCAGCTTGCCATCAGAAATGGAGCAAGCATGGGGCCAGCCTGAGGGAAGAGTCAATGTTCTATTGTTAAAATAATTCATTTTAACCACTTCCAGTCTGGACACTTTTACCCCCTTCCTGTCCAGGCCAATTTTCAGCTTTCAGCACTATCACACTTTGAATGACAATTGCGTAGTCATGCAACACTGTACCCATATAAATTTTTTAGCATTTTTTTGAGACAGATAAAGCTTTATTTTGGTGGTATTTATTCACCACTGGGATTTTTTTTTTTTTTTTGCTATATAAATGAAAAAGTCCAAAAATTTTGAAAAAAAAGTGTTTTTCTTATAAAATTTTGCAAATAAATAATATTTCATTTTAAATCTTGGCCAACATTTATTCAGTTATCTTTTTAGTAAAAAAAAAAAAACAAATTAGTTTATAACCAAAAATTATCATTGTTAATTTTTTTTTTATGATTTTATTATTTTTTTTATATTATTAGTTATGTTTTTTTTTCTACATACTTTTTCTACATACTGTTACCCTAGCAGACACTGTACTACTTGTGGGGGGTGATGAAAATTTTTTTTTTTTTTACACTGATTGCTTTTACACCCATAAAGGCTATAAAAGCAATAATTTCTCCTTCTCTCTGGCTGCATTCTTGCAGCCATTGAGAACTACTGTGTGAGCTGTGATTGGTCACAGCTTGTCACATGGTACAAGGCTATTGTGAATAGCCTTGTACCATGTGACCACTGTGATCATTCACAGATTTCACAGGTAGTAAGCAATGATGTCATAAGTGACATCTTGATTACTACTCTGCATGTGATCACTGATTGGCCAATCAGTGATCACATGATCGGGACCTCGCACAGAGGTCCCGTACAACGATCGGTGTTTCACTGTGTCCGGAGGACACAGCGGGCACCGGATCGCGGTGCTGCACAATCCCAGCGCCCCTGGAGTGCCACCATTCAGCCGTTTATATACAACGGCCGGACGGCAAGTGGTTAAAGGGTGTAGCACATTGGCTGCACATGCAACAGTAGTAAGACGTCATAATATTTGGTTCAAGTTCTGGTTTCTAGACTACCTTAAAGTTTTACTAAACCCACAACACTACAATCAGTCTGTATATGCAGTAAAGCATGCTTGTTATACTCACATACTCACCGTGGAACCTAAGGGGTTAATCCTCCACATCGTGTAAATAGGTTCTTTTCTGATCCTCCCCTTCTTCTACTTTCCCCAATCCATCTGCTGAAAGTACAGAGCCCTAGGAGTCACTCTGCACATGCTCAGTTAAGTGTGTATGGCTAGTTTTTTTTTCTTTGGGAGGGTGCATGTGATCAGAACAAGGCCAATCAGCACTGTCCAGACAGAGGGTCAGGGGTTATGCAGCCTCATAGGACAGTCAGAGCACAATGAAATCTCCTCCTACAAGCTTTAACTTGTACTGCTGATGAGAAAAGGTATTTTCGCATTTTATAGTTACTAAAATAATTGCACTTCCATGTTCTGTTTACTGTGGGAGACCAGATATAGTGAATGCAGAGTCATGGGTTTAGTAACACTTTAATTTCCTTTCTTTATCATACGATGTCTGACTTAGCAATATGACTTATTATTAATTTAAGTTGAAAACATTTTCCTTTTTTATGCTAAAGTGGATGTATGGTATAGTATTGTAGGTATTTACTTCCATCGCATTACAAAGGTTGTATTTCATGTGCTCAAGAGGCCATAGAAATGTTGAATAACAATGCAGTGACTTCCTCAAATTCTTTACATCTACAGTAGGTCTTCAGCAACTCATATGTCCTTATAACAGCAGCAGTGTAACATTTATCTTTATTAACAGATGCAAGCACTTCAATGAGTATGGACATCACATCATGGTCACTATTCATCACATCAAGTCTCACAACACTCCAGTAAGTCTTTTGTATTTCAAAAGAGGTGTAAAGCAGAACCTTGATTATTTCAATGAAAAATGGTTTACATTTTGTTATTGGCTCACATAGAAATCCAATAAGCTCTCTTGGGTTGATTGCCTAGGCATTGTCACTTGTGGAAGTGCTCAGCTTCCTCTAATCAGGATATTATACGCTAAAGTGCATCCTCCACCACCAATCACTGGATACGTGCACCTTCAACAGTCTACTATAATCACTGGAAAAAACACAACTTCAATGACACCAGAGTGACAGAAGTACAGTATGTTGGCCAGGTTAGACATTTCCTGGTGTTAAACTGTTATTTCACCAGAGGAAGAACTGATCCAAATGAAGAATAGAGGAGAAAGGAAAGTAGAAACATTGCAACAGGGAGCTTACTGGATTCCAAAAGGAGCCAATAAAGTTTTACTTTAAAATACTGAAGGTACTGATTTAAATATTTTTGGAAATACAAGAGAGACTTTTAAGTGGTGGGATGATTTTTATTAGTGTGAATTCTTCATCACACCAGGAGATGGGTAGTGGAATAGAGACTTTAGTACACCTGTCATACAGTGTATGACATAGATTTCCACTTCTGACCTCTCCCTTTGGAAATGTTAGTTACTTCTCTATCATGCTAATACATTGGCTGCATTGATTTCTGACCCAGAACAGGTATAGGAAAAAGGAGTTTTTTACACTCTTATACTGTGTGGTTTTTCTGGATCTGTAGCTATACGGCAGCTTGGGGGACACTCTCTAAACTGTTTGTGCACAGAATTCCCTAAGAAATGTAATTTCCTGTCTGTGTGACTTGCTAACCACTTTCCCCAAATATTCCTAGGCAACCCCTGTAACAAGAGTTTCATTTTTGATAATATTTATTTCTAAGGCTATACCTCACCAGAAAGGAAGCTGAGATCACACTTTTTCTTATTACAACATTAAAACTGACCAGCTGGTGAACTTACAGACAACCCCTGGAACAGGAATTTCCTTTGTGGAGAGATATTTTCTAAGGCTATTCTTCACTACACCTTCTCTTTTTACAACAATAAAATTGATCAGTTGGTGGCAAAGAAGGTTCATTGACCCATCCAGAGATCATTTTAAGAAAGGACATGTTAAGGCAAGCATACATTTTCACAGAACAGAAGCAGGTAATCTGCAAACGTTTTTCTAAAATATTTGCAGTGTATATAGTCAACAACATTTTAATAATACTTGAAAGTAGATGTAAACCCAAGCAGGTTTAAATTTAAATAATAAAAATGTTGCTACTGGTCGGTCTGCTCACTCAGATCCCACACTCCCTCAATCGGGTGCCAGCCCAGTTCGTCATGCTGCAAATAGGAAAAGGTCCGGATGGCTGCACTCCAAAATGAATCCACCTGTATTATGAATATTAGCCACTTGCCTACTGGGCACTTTTCCCCACTTCATGCCCAGGCCAATTTTCAGCTTTTAGTGCTCTCACACTTTGAATGACAATTTGAATGAGTCTTGCAACACTGTACCCATATGAAATTTTTATAATTTTTTTGAACACAAATAGAGCTTTCTTTTGGTGTTATTTAATCACCACTGTTTTATTTTTTTGCGCTATAAACAAAAAAAGAGCAACAAATTTGAAAAAAAAAAGGTTTTCTTTGCATCTATTATAAAATTTTGCAAACAGGTAATTTTTCTCCTGCATTGATGTGCATTGATGAGGCTGCACTGATAGGCAGCACTGATGGGCACTGATAGGCTGCACTAATGAGGTGCCACTGATGAGGTGGCACTGGTGGGCATTGATGAGGAGGCACTGATGCTGCTGCTCTGATATGCAGCAATGATGGGCGGTGCTGACTGGCAGCACTGACTGATGGCACTGCTGGTGGCACTGCTGGGTGGTACTGCTGGGCAGCACTGATGGGGGACACTTCTGGGCACTGATGGGTGGCATTGCTGAGCACTGGTGGGTGGCACTGCTGGACACTGGTGGGTGGCACTACTGGGCACTGATGGTTGGCATTGCTGGACACTGGTGGGTGGCACTGCTGGGCGGTACTTCTGAGCACTGATCATCAGGGCACTGATGATCAGTGCTGATCTGCTCTGTCACATTTGCTGGTTATTGGCAGTACTTTCCTTATGCTGTGACAGTGTGAGGAAAGTGCTGACGATAACTGGCAACTGTATTTACTCAGTGATCTGATAAGTCATCAGACACAGCTGATCATGTGGTAAAAGGCCGTTGTAATTGGCCTTTTACCTCATCATGTGATCAACTGTTACCGTAGGACACAGTGATCACGGAGAGCAGCAGGTGCAAGCCGCTGGGGGAACACGGGAGGGCGTGTTCTGGGAGGACATCATAAAAGTAGAACTATAGGCAAAACATTTTCTTCATTTTGGATAGCGTAAAGGAGGGTTATAACCTCCATCAGTTTATTTTTTTGCCATCTGTGTCCCATTGGGGAGATTTACCATCACTTCCTGTCTCAGAGCCAAAACAGAAAATGAGAGAAAATCCCTGCAAATTAAGGTAATTTCTTGGGGAGCCCTAGGTCTCCAAAACTAGTGTATTGATTGGATAATTTTCCCTCTATTACTTTTCTGGGGATAACCCAAAATCTGGGGGTTCTTTTACTTTCACTCTCAATGATAACAGTAAACAGGACAAATAGCGAGAGTGAATCTCCCTGGGGCACAGACAGCAATAAAACTGACAGGAGTTCTAAACCATCTCCACACTGTCTGAAACAAAAAAAAGGTTTTGCCTTTTTTTATTCCTTAAATCACATTAAAACCCAATGTATATAGTATAATGTATACAAAAAAACAATACAAAACAAAACAATAGCCAAAGGTGAGGTGCCCCTACAAAAAAAAAAATCACTTCTCAACCATCTGAAGAAGTCTAAAACAGAAAAGACCCAAAATATACCATCCTTATAATTGCACACACATATCTTGGTATAACGTGAATAGACAGGCCACCACATTCTCAATCAGTTGAAACTTTTTTAACAGCATACTAATGTACCCCAGCCTGAAATGTGGTTCATAGAATACCAACATAGGCATGGGACATATACCCACTATCACTAGAACCACCTCACTCAAAAAATGGGTGAGGTCTCACTCAAAAGCATGTTTTTTTTCTCTAAATTATATATATGATCATGGAGGTGGTCTCTCATCCTTCTTGTTGTCCTCTCAACATACTGAATGCGACAAATACCACACATGATCAGGCAAATTACATTCCTTGTATTAGCATTTATAAAAGTTTTGATACCAAACTATTTCCCACTCACTGAGAATACAAAACTATTTCCCTTGACAACATAAGGACAACACAGGCAATTGTTTAACCCACATCTGAAATTCCCTTTAAAATGCAGCCAGCTTCTTTTCGCTTGATAACAGTTGACATCCCCCCCCCCCTGCCCCAGAGACAGTACATACTGAGAAACAGTTTTAATACCTCCCAATTAAATGTTGGCATAAACAGTATCATTAAACAGGATGGGGAGATAATGCTCCACAATCCCCCTTATCTTTTTGAACTCTAGACAATACACTATGGAGCACGCTGGTACATCCCTACATGTAGTTCCCCGGGTTTTATCTCTCAGCAGCTCATCTCCCTCTGTGGATCTTGCTATATTAACTTCTCTATCAAGAACCTGTTCTGAATAGCGTCACTGCACAAATACTGTAGATGGTACGTCGGAGTGGCTTCTGTGTCAAAATCATTATGATCCAATGCAAATTCTGTGCAGCCTCAAAAATTGGCCCACAGGTATACTCCTGATGGTGTGTGTTTGGGTTGTCCCAAATCTCCCCTCAAAATATTATTATCTGAGTGGGGCTTTCTATAAGCTTAGTTGTTACTTGACTGTCCTGACCTGA